CCTGTACAGGGTCGCTATGGGTCGAAACCTACTCGATGGCACTTAACAACAACAACGTATCTTTGATGTCATCCCACAAGTCATCTATTCTTTGATCATTATTGTTCAGTGCTACAAATCTGTTGTTAAGGTGGTCTCTAAATTTAATATGTATTGTCACATTTTGGCTCTCATGGACTTTTTAATTTTTTCTTCAGCTTCCTTTTGAACTTGCATATGAGTAATTGATGATCTTTTTTGCCTTTGGACCCTGGGCTTTTTCTGACTCATGATATTGAACTTCTTTATTGTTTCTATCCACTGGTATAGATGATGCCTATGTATTCTATCTGTTGAGGCCCATATGTATAGTCTTTTATAAAACAAATGAAAAATTGGAATGCGTGACTAAGTTAAGACCATTTTACTTTTGGTTTTAGTTTATTAATAAATATCAAGTTTCACAGTTTAAGAAAATGGAGTTCGAATTTATTAAAGAACTTTTAGAGTGAAAAAGATTGAAATGGTGGCATAATCAAGTAACTAATAGAAAAAACTAAATCCAAAGATTATGTTTATATTATTCATACATATGAATACATATTATACTTTTTCTAATGGAAAAAGTACTTTTTCTAATGAAACATTTATTTGTGATAACATGTCTCTTGTTGGAATGGATTTCTAAGTTTTGTTTTTAAACAAATAAACATCAGAATTATTCTTACTCATTTTTACTTTATTTATCTCAAAAGTTTATTAGCATTTGTTTTTGAACACTGGCAAAAGGTCTAGGTAAAATAATAATGAGAACAGGGATGTTTTTGTTGTTAAGTGCCATGGAGTCGGTTCCGACTCATAGCGACCCTGTACAGGGTTACCAAGGCTGTAAATCTTTACGGGAGCAGAAAGCCTCATCTTTCTCTCATGGAACAACTGGTAGTTTTGAACTGCTGACCTTAAGGTTCACAGACCGATTCGTAACCAGTATACTACCAGAACTCCTTATACTTAAAGATGTAGAGCTCCTTAGTGAGCATTTATAGGACCGAAAAAATAAAATTCCATTTAATTGTATTATATTGTTGATTATATTGTTCTCACAGTATTTAGACCATTTATTTAGAAAGATCTGAGTACTAAGTTCTTATCCTAATTTTACACAGACAAAATTTAGTTTTGAGGCCATATGCTGTACCTTTAACCTAAGAAGTATATTTGAATTGCTCAAAAGGGGAAGTAGTTAGAATATAAGTCAGTAGGTGATTTAGCACAAATTCAGTATCACTCCAGAAAATACCCGTGTAAATTTCTGTATGAATGTTGTCTGGTCAAGGTAATCATATTTCATTGTACAAAGAGCAATGTTTACATTTCTTACATATTTTTTTTTTAAAAAAAGAAAAACTTTAATTTTTTTATTCATGTTATTAAATAATTTCAAGTCACAGAAATGAAAACTTAATTTCTGTCTAAGACTATATTTTAAAGAGATTGTATTGTAGGAATACTTTATTTGGTGCCATTGTTAAACTAGACAAGATTGTATAGGTGGTGTTGTTAAGTGCCACTGAGTTAGTTCCAACTCATAGCAATCCTGTGTAAATAGGGTGTCCAAGGAATGTGTACAGGGTTTGAACTGCCGACCTTTCAGTTCATACTGATCTTGCAATCAAGTGCTTATCCTATCAAGCATTCTATTTTATGTTTGTAGGGTTTTGTTTTTCTTTAAAAATATGTCTTTCCTTTTTAGTAATTTGGGATAATGCACCACATGGTCAGTTTGAACTGCAAGGTTGGCGGTTCACATTCACCAGCTGCTCCTCAGAAACTCTATACAAGTCACTATGAGTAGGAACCAACTCGACGGCACTTAACAACAACTCTGCTTATAGCTTTCTTTGTTTTCACAGACTGTGAAATTATTTGATGACATGATGTATGAATTAACCAGTCAAGCAAGAGAACTATCAAGCCAAAATTTAGAAATCCAGAGCACTCTAAGGAATATTTTACAAGTAAGTCAAATGTATTGAAAAGGGGGAAAGAGTGAGTTTATGACAGTGTGAGAAGTTTTTTAAACTTTTTATTGGGAATTGAGTGAAGGTTAACAGACAAGATCATCAGCTTTATATTTAACAAAGCATGCACTTTGTTTCATCTTAATGATGAAACCTTAGTGATGAAACCTTCCCTGCAACAGCAGTTATCCTACTTCTTCCTTGTACCTTCACTTTTACATCTTATATTTTACAAATGAACAAAGCAAAAATATTTGTGTACATCCAAAACAAAAAATATATATTCATTTAAATGTGCTAAGGGCATACTCTGCAAGCCAGCCTCCTCCCTGCAAGCACACATGGGCCTAGAGCCTGAAGCTGCTCTATGTCGCCATGCCTCTGCCACGGTCTCTGCTGTCACCCCTCTTCTAGGTAGGATTAATGTGAGAATTTTTATACTAATATTGTTTATTCTTTATGTAATGCACTCATGCTTGAATTAAATCTATATAATTATGGTATGAATAGAGAAAAACAAATTTGGGGAGCTTTGGTACAGCTTTTTGCTATGAAGTCTACATATCTTAACTCTTAGCAGGCTAGTAATCAAGATAGAATATCCTATTTGTAGTGACATAGTACATGTGCAGAACTCCTGCCATGTGCTTTGATATGTGGGCTAGGGTTCTACTTTTTTTTTTCTTTTCTACAACTGGCTAGCTAGTCCCAATATTTGTAGTTTTGATAGACTGAAGCTCTGTGAAAGAAGGGCCTGTTTGATTTACTACTATGTCCCCAGCCCCTCTATAATATCTGACACTTTTTAGCTATACAAAAGTAGATTCTGAAAGAAACTTCTTTCCTTATTTCCAGACAATGGTTCAAGTTTTAGGAGCTCTCACAGGATGTGTGCAGCATGTCTGTGCCACACAGGAGTCCATTGTTCTAGAAAATATTCATAGTCTCCCCTCCTCAGTCCTTCATGTAATCAAAAGTACATTTGTTCATTGTAAGGTAAGTAATGGGTCTAATGCATCTTTAAATGGCCTGGAATCCATAGGTAAAGGGATTGAAAAAAATAGTGTTTGTACATAACATTTTCCATCACTCATCTGTCAGTTCATCATATTATGGTGGGCTTGTGTGTTTCTGTGATGCTGGAAGCTATGCCACCAGTATTTTAAATATCAGCAGGGTCACCCATTGTGGGCAGGTTTCAGTGGAGTATCCAGAATTAAAGCCAGAATAGGATGAAGAAGAGGTGTACTACTCCTGAATGTTTAGCCACTGAAAACCTTATGAATATAGTGTAGATCATAGAACTGGACAGTTTTTCATTCTGTTTTACATTGAAGGGGTCACTATGTGTTAGAACTGACTTGATGGTACCTAACAACACAGGCATTTTACATCTTAGCCTATATTATTGCAATATAAAATTTTCCATAGAACCAAGAGCATATATACCCATATTTAAATATGTGGTGATAGGAAAGTCATAACAAGTGGCGCTTTTTATATTGAGCATGGAGGTTCTATTTTCATGAAAATTATATTCCTCTTTATAAAGAAAGCCATGTTAATAGATCTGTGTGGCGTCACAGGAATGGTGACGTAGTTTTATTGTAAAGCATTGGTGACATAGTTTTATTGTAAATCATCAACCACTCTTTAATTATAACGCCCCTGGGAAAGGACGTTAGCCCTTACTTAGTCAATCTCTACCTTTCTGAGGCAGCTTTCAGGCACAAAAGCTGGCCGAGGATTTGTGGGATGAATGCAGCATTTGTTAGGTGAGTGAATGACACTAGTTAATACTAGAATTAGGTCATACACCTGACCTAATGCTATTTAGTTCCCCTTTTGTTCTGTATTAGGTCATAGAAGCCTAAACACTTGTTTAAAGAATACACACTAATGTATTGTGACAGAGAGTTTTAAAGTTGTTCTCTAAAGTATAAGGGAAAACATTGCATATATAGCTTCGCTTTAAAGAGAATAAGATGGTTTTGAGCAGTGTATCAGCTATTTTTGTTCTGTAACAAACCAGCCCAAAATCTATTGACTTAAGACACCACAATTTTAATTTATTAAAAGGCAGTACATAATTTAACATCTTTCATAGAATAAGTTAAAATAAATTCGGCATGAGTTTTTTTTTGTGTGACTTGCTCTTTCATTTTTATTTATTTGTGATCAGAATAGTGAATCTGTATATTCTGGGTGTTTACACCTCGTGTCAGACCTTCTCCAAGCTCTTTTCAAGGAGGCCTATTCTCTTCAAAAGCAACTGATGGAACTTCTGGATATGGTTTGCATGGATCCTTTAGAAGATGACAGTGATGATATTTTGAATATGGTAATGGGTGAGTAGTGAAAACAACCTGCTTTAGTGTGTGATGTCTATTCTATTGTCTTACAAATCCTTTCTAATAGTTAAATTATTGAACCCTACATGATTTCTAATGATGGCATAGTCACTCATGACATAGTCACACAAATAATTTATGTCCTACTCAATAATGGTCTTTTAAATTTGGGGTGGTTAAATTTAGTTTTGATGTGCTTGCATAGATTTGCGTATCTAGTTAGCATTCATAGTAAGGAATTTTCCCATAGTAACTAACAGGTATGCAACTTTGTATCCTGTAAGTCCATATTGTGAGGTTTTATTATCCATTATTATCCATAACCCAGCATAAGAAATAAATTTTATATTGCAGTCCAAAACAGACATAAGTATATGTGTTTGTATGTGCTTTGATACCGATATAAACACTTATTTAATACATGAAACATTTATTTAGTTAATTAATACATGAAATGCCCTTTTTACATGTGATGCACCTTTTTCTATTTCATTTTTTTAAAATTACTACTTGTTACCTACTACAATGATTTTATCACACACTAATGTATTGTGACAGAGAATTTGAAAATGGTTCTCTAAAGTATAAGGGAAAACATTGCATATATAGCTTCGCTATAAAGCAAATTAAGTTGGTTTTATGCAGTGTATCAGCTACTGTTGCTCTGTAACAAACCGGTCCAGAATGTATTGACTTAAACCACCACAATTTTATTTAGTCATGATTCTTTGGTCAGCAGTTTAGACTGGGTGCTCAGCTGGGATAACTTTCTCTGCTCCTCATGGTGCAAATGTCTTGCTCATGTGTTTGTGATCAGTGATCTCACTTATACATCTGGCTATTGGCAGAAGTATGGTGCGTCAACCTCATAGGGCTTTTAAGAATAGGTAGGCAGGACACACTCCAGTGCATAAGCACAAGTTTCTGCTTGCCTCACATTTTTATTGTTCCATTGCCCATAACCAGTCCTTAAGCTAAGCCCAGAATCAGTGTGGAGAATGACTACTCAGAGTGTGGATATAGGGATGGGGAATCAATGCGGCCCGCCACAGGCAGAGTAGAAGCTATACATGGGACTTGCAGTCCATGAACACTATGCAAATCAGTTTTAATTTCAACTATAGTAAGACATAATTTTTGTTCCACTGAACATTTTTTGTTTGTCATATGATAGGTATAAACTTCAAATACTAAGTTTCAGTAATTTATGACAAGCTTAAGTCAGAAGTATGGCACAATTATTTTCAAATAGTGTCACCTGTTTTTAATTTAGTCAAATATCAGCATATATTTTTAAATACAGACAACTCACCCCAAATGTATATTTGAGTATCCTAAGAATTGTGTTCTCTTTCTTTGCAGTTATTCATTCATTATTGGATATCTGCTTGGTTATTTCCAGTATAGACAGTGCATTTCATGCCAATACTTGGAAGTTTATAATTAAGTAAGTTTTCTTTGTAACTTTTTATAGTATATTTTGCATATCTTATTTTTTACTACCTTGTAAGTTTTCTTAGATTACATATGAAACATTTCACATGGACATATGTAATGTTTGTGACACTTTTGTGAAGTGTTGTAGAGTTGGTTCCAACTCACATTAGTGACCCTGTGTAGGGCTTCCAAGGAGTGACTAATGGGTTTGAACTGCCAACCTTTTAGTTTGCAGTCCAGTGCTTACCCTACAGCGCCACACTGGGACCTAATCCAAACATCCTACATGTAGCTCCCAGACCAAATTGATCTTTATTCCATTAAAAGATAGAAAAAATTCTACCTAGTTAGTATGATGGGGCTTCAAATAGTTTGTGGGAAAGTGGAAATGAAAAATAATGGAACTTTCTGAGATTTTTGAAACCCCCTTTTATTTCTGAAATAGCAGTCCAGATGACATCAACCATTTGTCTGTTTTGTGTAAGTGTCAGGTATTTTATTTCTAGGCTTCGATGAATTAATAATTAGAATTAGAACTTAATATAATCCATTAATCATATATACCATTGAGGTGTTCAAGTGTAATTCTAACTGTAAACTAATATTGATTTTGTGAATCTGGAGCTTTTTTCAACTTTTGTAAAAATAATGTGGAAGGAATGTTCAACTTCCTGATTACCTAACTGGGGAGGAGAGTCATCAAGATCCCAAAGCCGATTCACATTAAACTGAGATTGAACATGCCTCCATCCTCCAACATTCCGTACTGTCCCTTCCACAGCACTCTGTTTCTCAACTGGGTTTGATAATTCATTGCAATGACTACATAAAATTCACAGATCATATTCAGTTATGAGTTTTATTAGGGAAGTTAACAGGTTACAAGTCAGGATCAGAAATGCTCAAGACACAGTTCTTGGATCAGGATAGCCTCTTCCCAGCCACCCACAGAGAGGCATCTCTCTGGCCCTTGGCCTCTCAGCCACAAGGTCCCTTGTTCTCTTCCCTATTTGTGCAGTGTTACAAAACTCCTTTAGTTCTGCCGTGAAGTGTGTGATGTGCCCAATGGGTACTCCATTTCACCAAAAGCCTCATCCTGAAGGTTCTTGGCTCTAGTTACCCCCAGTAAAGTGCTTGGAGGCAACCCACTCAAGTGAGCCTCTTCCCCAAAAGTACTGTTTATTTGTTCTATAGGCTTGGAAGCCTATTGTTCTGTCTAGTGTCTGACTCTTAGTTTGCTGCTGCTCTGCTGTCACACATTTGTCACTTATTTGTGTCAAACCTTTCTACCTCAGCATTGAGGTTCAATGCACAGGGATCTTGTTAGTCCAAAGGACTTATCCTGTGTCCTTGGCAAGTCCAAAGGACAAACTCCACTCCTGGCTCCTCTTTCTTGGTGGTAGTGAGACTTATTGCTTCTCAAATAGCTCATTTTAAACCCAGCAGGATGGCAAAATTGACCAATCCCCATGTGAGAGCTCCAAGTTTTCATAATCACAGTGAACCTGTTTAACACTCACAGCTGAATCATATAATTCTGTCAGAATCTTCCCCCACCTTCTGTGTGGCGCTGCAGGCTAATGCATCAGACTGCAAAGTTGTTTGCACTGCAAGTTCGGTGGTTCAAGCTCACCAGCTGCTCCTTGGAAACCCTATACAATGGTCGCTATGGTTTAGAATTGACTCGACGGCACTTAACAACAACAACATCAGGAAAAAGTCGTTTGGTGGAAGTTACAAAGACTATGTCTAGAAGAGCCATATAAAGCATTTCACTGAATTGCTTATAGAGCTTTTATCAGATTTTTAGGGTTGGGGCAGACACGATTGAAGAAGTAAAAATAATGAAGAAATTTTTCTTTATACATATTCATAAAACATTCAAGAACAGTGTTACAAATTTCAGCTCTTAGATGTTTTTTTTGGAACAACAAGTCATAAAGTTGTCACCAAGTAATAGTGCAGTGGGTAAGACTGTCAACTCAGAGCCATACTGTGTGTATTTGAATTCATTCTGAAATCACTTACTTATCCTGTGCCCTTGGCAAGTTGATGAACTGTCAGAATCTGTTTCCTTATATGCAAATGGAATAACCGTAATAGCACCTCTTTGATAGAGTATTACGAGATTTGAGTTTATCAGTGTGAATTACTTAGAATGGTGCCTGGCACATGTTGTCAGTGACATAAAGTCGTTTCTGACTCACAGCAACCTTGGAGAGGGTTTTCGAGACTTTAAATCTTTGCAGGGGCAGATAGCTTCATTTTTCTCCCACAAAGTGGCTGGTGAGTTTTTACTGCCAACTGTTTGGTGCACATTACAGTGCTAATCCTATGGAGCCACCGTGCTCCCCAGCACATAGTGAGTGCTTAATAAATTAGGCACATCACCATTATTACCATTAAATATCTTCCATTTCTGCTCCCTTCCTGTTCATTTTCTACATATAGAGTGATTTTTTTTTAAATTGTAAATCATATTGTGATTCTACAGCTAAAATTGATTCCATTTTACAAAGTGTAGCAACCTAACTCCTGGCCCCTACCTTCTTCTCGACCCATTTTATGCTGGTGTCTCCTCTTGGCCACCACGTATCTGCACACCAGCCCGCTCATAGTTTCTAACACATACCAAACTCCCCTGTCTCAAAGCCTCTTCATGGCTTTTCCCTGTGCCTCAGATACTCCTTTCTTCTCTTCTCCACCTTGTTGAATTTCTCCTTGAATGTCACATCTTCATGGTAGCATTCTTTGCTGTGTCCTTGCCCAAAGGATAAATTAGATTAGGTCTTCCTGTTGTATGCTTCCACAATGCCCTGTATCAGGGGTGGGGAACATCTGGCCTGCAAGCCTTATAAGGCCCCTGCTACCATTTCGTCTGGCTGTGCCAAGGCAACCACAGGCGAGACTTGAAATTCAGTATATCTAGGAGCTTTTTTCATAACAACATGAATTTGTATTAAGTGATGTTATAAGTATCCAAATGACCCTTGGCAGAAAAAGGTTCCCCACCCCTTCCCTGGTGTGGCATTGCGGGCTAATAGGTTGGACTGTATGGTCGATTTGAACCTCAAGGTCAGCAGTTCAAGCTCACCAGTTGCTCCTCAGAAATCCTATATAAAGTTGTTATGAATTGTTATAGACTCAACAGCACTTAACAACAACCCCTGTCTTAGATGGTTCCATTTTAGCATTTATCACAACTCTAATTAGTTAATGAATTGTTCTTGTAATTATTTAATGTTCTCTTAATCAAGATGATAGTTCCATGCAGACAGGGCAGAAGTTGTATATTTGTTTCACCTCTGTCCTCAAGGTATAGCAGAGTGCCTAGCACATAGTAGAGCTCCAATTGCATTTTTTTTTTTAATGTTGTGAGTTCTGTGATAGTTTACATGGGAGAACATTAAATTTACATTCATCCTATTGTATATCACTTCATTGCCATGGTACAGTCCCCTCCATGCATCATCAACCAACCAAAGGGTATACCCTGCAAGCCCCCCCACCCCCACCCGGTCATCAGCACACAGCCCCTTTCCCTCTCTGGGTCTAGAGTCCCCAGCCACTCCATCTCTCCATGTCATCGTCTCTACCTCCATCTCTGGCTTCACTGTTTCTCTGGATAGGTCCCGTACTCTGCTCTTCTCCCTTGATGGTCCCAGGGACCTCCACTCCTGGACAACAAAGTTGCTACAAAACGTCTACCTTTACATTTCCAACCCTCACAGTCAGTCCTGATAGCAGTTAGTCACTATTGTGCCACATGAATGCAATCCCTATCTCCTATCATCAGCCCTGCCCAGACAGATTGGATACTACTCAGTGGAAATTTCAATTTGCATTTTACAAGGAGAAAAAATACAGTATAAAAAATATAGGTAATGTTGAGACACATTAATTATACCATGTCTAATTTATTTCATACTTTAGGTTTTTGTTTTGTTGTCCTATAAAGAATTATTTCCATGGGCCTAAGTTACATGATAAGGAACACTAGTGGTGCTGTTGGATAAACACTGGACTACTAACTGCAATGTCGGCAATTCAAACCTACTAGCTTCCTTTCTCAGAGAAGAAAGATTAGGCTTTCTGCTCTCATAAAGATTTGCAACCTTGGAAACTGTATATAGGGTCGCTGTGAGTCAAAGTCAACTTGATGCCCATGGGGTTTTTTGTTTTGTTTTGACTTGATATGTTATTAATGGTGATTGTATCCTGTTCCTTTTATTCATTTAGGCAGAGCCTTAAGCACCAGTCAGTTATAAAACACCAGTTGAAACACAAAGATATAATCACTAGTTTGTGTGAAGACATTCTCTTCTCCTTCCATTCTTGCTTGCAGTTAGCAGAGCAGATGACACAGTCGGACACACAGGTAAAATACAGTCTGCACAGCATTTTGAAACAGTGTCTCTTCTTTCCTTTGGCAATTAATCACATTTCAGTCTGTGCATCAATTTATTTGAAAAGGTCTTAATTTGTTTTTGTTTTGTTTGTGGAATCATTTATAGCTCATAGTTTTACTTTTCACCCAGAATATTGCATTAGATTCTCCTAACTACGCTCATTGCCTCTAGAATGCACATGTCTCTCCCCAACCTTACTGGATCTTTGATCGGCCAAGACTTTCACCTCAGAATAGCTTATTTCTTTTCTGTCCCAGACTAGAAATGTAAACCCTTATCATATTTGTTTTTGACCTTGCGAAACTGACCTTTCTATTTCATCTTTACCACTCCACTGCAACCTATAGTAAGACAACGTGAAGTCCGTATATAATGTGTAACAGCCTTCTAAAATTAGTATATACTTAACTTCTGAATTTCAAAAAGTTAAATATAATGGTGAATTTTTATCTAATTTATGAGACAGATGGTGTTCTAAAATTTATTGATATGATTATTAGAAATTGAAGCTCATTTTCGTGTAGCAATGTTGTATCCAGTGCTTTTGTCCTCAGACTAGCCCTCTAAATTCTGCTTTATTTCATAACAATCCTAAATTAATCCTATTTAGGACCTAATAGTCAAATATAATAATTTTAATGAGAACACAAATTAAATATCTTCCTAGAGTAAAGATAACCCAACTTCTACTATTGAAGACCTATTAATTCCTAGAGAGAATTCCTTTGTACCTGCTTTCTTCCCTATAAAGCAGCTGGTGAGGTGTGTGTGGGGGAGGCACGGTGGAGATGTAAGGATTCACTACATCCCTAAATACTGGTAACTGGGAGACTAGAACAGATACTAGAGGAAGCTAGACCTTTGCTTAAAGCAAAGTAGTTGCTTTAAAATGAGGTTAGCCTTTTCTCTTGCTTCTTTTCCTTTTCTCCTATCTATCCTCCACTTGTGTTTCTTTCTTTTTTTATTTCTACTTTTCTTCATGTACGCTCTGATTCCTTCTCACCTTGCTGAAAGGAGAAGTTACTTAGTTTGATGTCCTGTGATCTCGTATATGTCTGTTTTCCAACGCCAGCCTCATCCTTTACCTGTCTTGCCAAAACCGAAGACCCACCAGGTGGTAGTACTTGGAGAGTAATATTAGACTGCGTCCTGGACGTGAGATGGGGAACTATGTCACAGCATAGTCTATGGTGTCTAGAGAGAAATCCCTGGGTTGCCTAGCCAAAGAGACTATTTGTGCACAAAGTGTGTAGTTCAGCTCACATGTATATGAAAATTGGAAGGTTTAAAATTCTTCTGGCTGTCCAGGTGAGTTTTTGTGTTTCCCTTATTTATTTTTCCAATTTGGGACTGAGAAAATGTAACCAGCACTGCTTGCTGTCCATTCATGTCTGATATGGAACTTTCAGGAATACTGTCAGTTGTCATCATTCATAACTGAATTCTGATCTCCAGTGCCCTCTGCTGTTCACTGTTGGCACTTATTTAGAAAGCAAGGTACTTTTTATGTTGAAAAACTTAGTTTTTCAAGCAGTTTAATGGAAGTATACGGATGTGTTTGTAGGTACCTTAATTTTATAAGAAATTTAGTAAGTCTTGGAGTTGGTTTTTTAAAAGAGAACATTATATTAGACATTTTAACATAGAGTTTTTTAGTTACCAACAATTTTATTTTCTTATAAAGATTGGGAAATTTATTTGCAAGGTCACAGGATGTAATTTTATTTCCACTGTAATTCCTACTTTTGTTTTTAGAGGAAGCTTCAAAAATATTGTGGGAAAATCTAATTATCTTTTAATTCTATTTTTCTGTGAGTCTTTTGAAGCCCTTCGTATAAAGCTTATAGAAATATATGCTACTATATGTATTGGGTCTTTGGGTGGTACACATGGGTTCCTAACTGAAAGGCCTAGAGCATTAAGTCCACCCAGAGGTTCCTTGGAAGAAAGGACTGGTGAACTTCTTCTGAAAAATTAACATAAAAAACCATATGGAGCACAGTTCTACCCAGACACACATGAGATTGCCATAAGTCAGAATTGGCTAGATGGCAACTGGTTAATACACTGTGCTGCCCTCCACTAGACGTATGGTTTGCTATACTGGGAATTAGAAATGAAGAGGAATGACATCGCATGCACCATTAAAAAGAGCATTTCAGTGGATATTATCCTATCACAGACAGGATTGTACTTCATAATGCCGACTATGATAGAATAATGTCCATACGCCTACAAAGAAGACCACTATTATTGAAATTTACACATGGCCACTAAAGCAAGGTCAGTGTTTCAAGCTCACCAGCTGCTCCTTGGAAACCCTGTACAGGGTCGCTATGAGTCAGAACTGATTCCACAGCACGTAACAACAACAACAATGGGCAAAATATTGAATGATGCAGAAGTCATCAAAACTAGATGAAAGAAGTACATAGACTCACTCACTTATACCAAAAACAAAGGATCAGTGTCAGCCATTTCAAGAGGTAGTGTTTAATCAAAAGCCCGAGGTACTGGAGGAAGAAGTCCAAGGTACACTGAAGGCATTGGCAAAGAACAGGGCTCCAGGAATTGATTGAAATCTTTCAACAAACTGATACAGCATGGAAGGTACTCACTTATCTTTGCTAAGAAATTTGGAAGACAACTACCTGGTCAACTGATTGGAAGAGATCCATATCTGTGCCCATTTCAAATAGAAGTGACCCAATGGGATGCAGAAATCTTTGGACAATATCATTAATATGACATACATATAAAACTTTGCTAAAGATAATTTAAAAACGCCAGCAACAGTACATTGATAAGGAACTGCCATAGATTCAATCTGGATTCAGAAGAGTATATGGAACAAATTACCATTGCTCATGTCAGATTGATCTTGGATGGAAGCAGAGAATACCAGAAAGACATTTACCTGTACTTTATTGACTGTACAAAGGTTTTCAGTTGTGGATCATGTCAAGTTATGGATAGCATTACGAAGAATGGGTATTCCAGAACACTTGATTGGGCTCATGAGAAACCTGGACATAGACCAAGAGATAATTGTTTGAACAGAACTAGGAGACACTGAGTGGTCTAAAAATCATTAAAGGTTTGTGCTAGGGTTTTGTTCTTTCACTATACTTATTCAGCCTGTATGCTGAGCAATAAAACAAGAAGCTGGATTATATGAATAAGAACATAGCATCAGGTTTGAAGAAAGACTCATTAACAACCTGAGATATACATATGATACAGTTTTGCTTGCTGAAAGCAAAGAGAACTTCAAATACTGATGAAGATCAAATACTACAGCCTTCATTTTAGGTTGCACCTTAGTGTAATGAAAACAAAAATCCTCATCACTGGACCATTAAATAACATCATGATGAATGGAGAAAGTCATTGAAGTTTTCATAGACTTTATTTTGCTTGGATCCACTATCAACACTCATGACAGCAGCAGTCAAAAAGTGAAAAGACTTAATTCCTTAGGTAAATCTGCTACGCAAGACCTCTTTAAAGTATTCAAGAGCAAAGATGTCAGTGTGAGGACTAAGGTGCATCTTACTCAAGACATGGTAATTCTAGTTGTCTCATATGCATGTGAAATGTTGGACAGTGAATAAGGAAGAGAGTACAAGAATTGATGCATTTGAGTTACGGTGTTGGAGAAGAATATTAAAGTATACTGGGCTGCCAGAAGAACAAACCAGTCTGTGTTGGAAGAAGTACAGCCAGAATGCTCTTTAGAAGCCAGGATGTTCAAACTTTGTCTCTCATACATCAGGCATGTTATCAGGAGGGACCAGTTCCTGAAGAAGTACATCATGCTAGGTAAAGTGGAGGCTCAGGGAAAAAATGGAAAACACCAAATGAGATGAATTGGCACAGTGGCAGCAGCAGTGGGCTCAAGAGTAACAGTGATTATGTGGATGGTTCAGGGTTGGGCAGTGCTTCATTCTGTTGTGCATAAGGTTGTTAGGAGTGGTAACCAACATGATGGTACCTAACACCAACAATACATTTATGAGTTCTAGTATGGTGCTAAGGAGCTTGGTAGTGTAGTGGTTATGAATCAGGCTGCTAACCTCAAGATCGGAAGTTTGAAACCACCAGCTGTTCCGCAGGAGAAAGATGAGGCTTCCTGCTCCCATAAAGACTTGCAGCCTCGGAAGCCCTGTGCAGGGTCACTTTGAGTCAGAACTGACTCCACGGCACATAACAACAAAAGCAAGTATGGTGCTGTTGGATAAGCACTGGTCTACTAACTATAAAATTGGTGGTTCAAACCCAGCAGCTATTCCTTGGAAACCCTATGTAGGATTGCTATGAGAACTGACTTGACGGCACTTAACTGCATTTAGATTATATTAGTATTTTCCTTTTTATATTTAAAGAAAGGAAGGATGAGTAGTCCCATTTTGAAACATTAAAAAATGCTTAGGCCAACCCTGTTTTTAGAGAGAGTCTTTTTCTTGTTAGCATTGAGATGTGAACTTTCTATTTTAGGCAGTTGAGCAAGTCAAGATAATACAGTTAATGCTTTTGTGTTGCTTACGTTTTTTTTTTAAAGTCATAGTCACTATGATAGAGTTTATCTTCACAATTATCAGAGAATGGTGAATTTTCACATGACCTATTTCTGCTGCTCAAAATTGGTAAAGCATATTTTTAATAAAAGGTAAAAAATCAAAGCCCAGTTAGTGGATTATTCCTTTCACTTTTGATTAAGTTTAATTAAAGTTTTGCTAAGTTATTGGAAAATGAATTGAACATAGTCAGTATAATGTATCTATTTGATGTAACTTCATAAAACTAATTTAAAGCGCTTTGGATTACATGAAACCTTGTATTTATTGACCTAAACTGAGTAAATATCAGATACTGTTTAAACTTCACAATCACTTTAGTGCTTGCCTCACTGAAGGACCTGGGCCACAGTTCAATAACTGGTTAAATAACTTTCCCAGTATCATCTCCTAATTGTGGTAAATAACAGGATCTAAACCCAAACAGGGTGCTTCCATTGCCCTCTACACTACCCTGCATACATGTTACTTGTCTTGGCGCTAACCCACTATTTTATCAAATTACAGACATATATTCAAAGTTCTCATTTATTACACAATTAGAAATTGTGGAAAATGCAAGTCTTCTTTCATAGGTAGAGGGAACCACAAGTAAGGATTTGATATGCTTTTTGAGGGAGGAAAGCATTTAACATGTTTTTAAATAATGACAGTATTACAGCTATTGTTTTACAGCTAGCTCTTTTACTTAATGTGCCTTAGAATTTCTTATGTCTATGAAGATTTATCTACGCAATTCATTTTAATAGCTCTGTGGTTTTCAGTTTGGGCACTGTATCTTAAATTTATTCAGCTATGTTCCAGTTGATGAACAATTGGTTCATTCCCAGTTTTTACCATATAACAAATGTTGCATTGCCTACCTGTGCTAGTGTTTCTATAGGATATATATCCTGAGGTTGAATTGCTACTGGCTCAATAGGAGTTTTAGCAATAAGCTTTTAATAATAGTTAAAAGAACATATTTATGCTTTCTTGAATTGTAAAAGCTTGTTTCCCTATTTCCTACATAACTAAGGGATGTTTTCAATTTTTAAAATCTGTACTGATCAAATAGTCTCCTCCCTGCCCAAAAGAAACATAATTTAGTTGTACTTTGGATTTTCAATGTTAGCTGTTGACAGTTTGTATTTCTTTTTCTGTGAACTGACTTTTCATGTCCTTTATCGGTTTTCTTGTACATATATAATTCTTAAATTAATGTGTAAGCCCTTTTCTGTCTTTCACTTTCAAATCAACAAAGAAGTACTATATCTGCTGTTAAAATTTACTTTCATTAATAAATTTTAAATAAATAATTTGTTTCTTAAGCAAAGTTAGTTACTGTTAAGTTAATTCAGACTCATCGCAGCCCTCTGTGTCCCCAGTAGAACTGTGCTCCATAGAATTTTCAATGGTTGATTTTTTTTTTTTTAGGAATTAGATCACCAGGCCTTTTCTTGAGGCACTTCTTTAGGGTTAACAGTCAAGCACATTAGCTGTTTCCGTCACCCAGGGGCTCCATAATTTTTATGAAATACGTCTACTGTCTTTGGGTATTTGTTTATTTGTATTACTTCCAACAACAGTGCAGAGAATAGTCACATTTTCTTAAAAAAATATTTGAACTCTATTAAGAAATCTTTTTAAAAATTAAATTCTTGCTTACAAGTTTAGCTAAGCTCATGTTCTTTCCTTATTATAGTTTTCATTTTTTTTTTTTCTGGAATAGGATAATGCTGACTACAGATTATTTCATAAAACACTCAAATTATGTCGTTTCTTTGCCAACTCCCTATTGCACTACACTAAGGTAAGGCTTATATGTTAAAATGCATAAATATAACATATGAATTGTAAATTGCCATGCTTTTATTCATTCTTGCCAAAAACAATCATTTGAATTATATTTTGTGGGGATTTAAAAAAAAAATGACTTACTATTGGTAATTGTGGAGTCCTGTTGTGGTACTGTGGCTTTCTTTTTTTTTTTTTTTGTGGGGATTTAAAAAAAAAATGACTTACTATTGGTAATTGTGGAGTCCTGTTGTGGTACTGTGGCTTAATGCGTTGGACTGCAAGATCTGTTTGAACTGCAGGGTCAGCGATTCAAGCTCTCCAGCTGTTCCTAGAACACCCTATACAGGTTCACTGAATTGGAACCAACTAAACAACACTTAACCATAGCACTGATAATTGTAAATATTGAACATTTGGTTGTTTTTGTTTTTGGGGTTTTTTTTGTGTGAATTATATGATAGTTTACATGGGAGAACATTAGTTTTATATTCACTTTATCGTATATCGTTTCATTGCCATGGTTACAATCCCTTCAATGCATCATCAACCAACCAAAGGGTATACCCTGCAAGCCTGCCCCCTACACTCCTCCTCCCCCTTCTCCCCACCCCCAGTCTTCAGCACACAGTCGCTCTCCCTCTCTGGATCTAAAGTCCCCAGCTGCTCCATCGCTCCACGTCGTTGTCTCTGCCTCCATCTCAGGCATCACTGCTTCTCTGGGTAGGGTCCCGCTCTCAGCTCTTCTCCCTTGATGGTCCCAGGGACCTCCGCTCCTAGACTGAAAAGTTAATCACTCCCCTCCTTGCTATAAAATGTCTGCCTTTTCTGGGACCATCAACGGAGAAGTGCCGAGAGCGGGACCTTACCTAGAGAAGCAGCGAGGCCCGAGATGGAAGCAGAGACAATGACGTGGAGTGATGAAGCGGCTAGGGAATTTGGATCCAGAGAGGGAGAGGGACTATGTGCTGAAGAATTGGGGGTGGGGGGGCAGTGTAAGGAGCGGGGTTATAGGTATACCATTTGGTCAATTGATGATGCATGGAGGGGATTGGAACCATGGCATCGAAACGATGTACGGTGGAATGAATGTAAAACTAAAGTTCTCCCATGTAAAAATATCATATAATTCACAACAAAACATGGGAAAAAAAAACACGTCTACCTTTACATTTCCAACCCTCAGAATCAGTCCTGATAACAATTATTCAGTATTGTATCACAAGAGACCCCGTCTGCATTTCATTGCATCTGTCCCGCCTAGACAGATTGGATACTTACTACTCAGTGGAGATTCTACCTTCCTCCACACCCTCTGGATCTAGGTTCCCTCTTGAAAGCTTGTAAGCCAGTCACTTCCCCTGTCTACTCTGTGTGGAGGGGGTGGGAATGATTCTTGCTATAAGGATTTGTTCCCTCTTTTGAGCTACTGCATCCGTAGGTGTAAGTCAAGTTCATCAAATTGTATCAGATTACTTTTTTTCCTCTTCTTTCTTCTTTTGGTTGAGCTCTGATCATCCAGTCATTGAAGCCAGGTCAAGTGGGTATTATCTGAACATTTGTTTTTTATTAATGTTACTACCATTATATGTGAACCGACTCGATGGCACATAACAACAACAACCATTATATGTATTCAATTCACTAAGAAAAAATATTCATAAGCAGATACCAATTTTTAGGAGAAAAATTTTAATTCATATATAAATTTTTCTACTGTATCTCTAAATTATGTTGTTAAAATTTAAAACTGTATGATTTTAAGAAGTCCTCTGTATTTGGGAGTCATCAGAATAAGAGTGAGGTGTTAACTTGGGTAACGGGGAAGGTAGTATATATACAACAGGAGGAGAGTTGGCCGAAGAATGATTTTAAGATGGGAAGACAGGAAGGAGGAATGCAAGAGTTAAAGAGAGTAGAGATAAATACTGTTATATACACAACCCTGCAACAACAGTGTTCTGTGGTAGATACATAGACTGAATGGGTATGAGAGAGAGAGTGGGAGTATGTTGTTGATGTTAAGTGCCATCATGTTAATTCTGACTCAGCAATCCTGTGTAGGGTTCCCAAGATGAAGCTGATGGGTTTGAATCACAGACCTTGTGGTTAGCAGTACAGTGCTGATCCTATAGCACCACACGGGGAGTATACTCACAAATATATAAAGATTCGACAGAGGATATTTGTTTATGGATTATTTCCTCTGCTGTAAACATCTATGAATGAATGTAAGTGAAGCATATGGGGGCAAAATTGTGAAAATTCTTAGATATTACCAAACACCTTGAGGGAATGAGTTGCTGGGCCTAGGGGCTCAGGGCCATGGTTTCCACGGACATCATGGTCAGTCAGTATAACATAGGCTACAAAACCAATGTTCTATGTTTTTTGTGAGTAGCGGCTGGAATCTTAGTTCATGAGCGCCATCTAAGGTGCAACGATTGGTCTCTCCCTACCTGGTGAATAGAATAGTGATGAGAATTGAAGACGTTTGGACTCAATGAGTCCAGTGGACTAATGGAACAGCAGTCTCCACGATCCTGAGTCCAGAACTAGATGGTGCCCAGCTACCACTACCAATTGCTCAGAAAGGGATCACATTAGAATGCCCTGGATAGAGTGGGAGAAAATGTGGAACAAAACTCAAAATTATAAAAAAGACCAGGCTTACTGGTCAGAAAGAGACTGACGGAACCTGAGGCTATATCCTGGAACTGAACACACCCTTGTGCCTCAATTTTCAGCCAAGTAGTTTATAGGTATATAGGGGAGCTAACAACACTAGTAAGGTGTGCTCACTATGGAATGGTCAGCCATTCAAGATCCAAAGGGCAGCATTTACCTAAGGACAAAGTTCAGAAGGGTTGGGAAGGAGGGTAAAATGGAAACAAGAATCACAGAAGAAGTGGGATAAGTGATGCTACAGGGAGGGGATTGCAGTCATGGAAATGAGATAGATGATTTGTTCAATGTAAAGCGTGATCTGCTCTATAAACCTTTGCAGTGAAAAAAGAAAAGCAGTGACAGTTGAAGATACTTAGGGGACTTTAAAAGTTTGTGGGAAAGTGAAATTCAATGATTGTGGAATTTTTCCATGAACTTTTTGAAGTCCCCTCATATATGAATTTTTCCATGAACTTTTTGAAGTCCCCTCATATATGAATAGAACAGATCAGTGATCAGGATAGATTATATAGAGAAAAAAGCAGAGAATATTTTCAGTAGGGGAGGCACCAGTGAGAGGAGCATCAATAAGAGTACATGCATGCATTGCATAACATCCAGGATATTCTGTGAAATAGAAGGATGTGATTCTGGAGCACAGGGCTCCCGGGGTGCACTGGCCCAGGCACTGGGCAGTATACATCATGAGCACTCCACCAGGTACCACCTGTCACTGCCATTTCTACTAAGGCTCGAATCATGAGACTTGTGGTTCGCAGTCCAGGTAGATATATATTAATGTGATTTATAAAAGCAAACTATGTCTGTATTGAATTTGCCTTTGATCTTATCTTCCTCCTATTTGAAAAAAGATAAGACCCTTCACTGTTTATTACAATCAGAATCTGATGGCAGGTACACTGGACATATTGCTGTCCTATTTGGTGTGCTAACCAAATTGACTCTGCTGGACAACTGCCACTTAACAGTGGTTGGCTGTTCTTACATTGGGTAACCTGCAGCATATAGGGTATGTTCTAGTGGTAGAGTTACATCCATCATGGGAGAGTGAGTTGGTCAAGTTACTTGATCTGAGCCTCAGGTTTCTAGTCTATAAATTGAGGGTGACAATTCTTGTAAGATATATTGAAGTCACTTGATAACTTGTCTGGTATGCAGAAAGTTCTCAGTAAATGTTAACTGTGTGGTGTTGTAGGATAAGCACTGGACTGCTAATTTCAGGATCAGCAGTTCAGATCCACCAGCTGCTCCTCAGAAGCCCTATACATGGTCCTATCAGTTAGAATTGACTTGATAGTAACAATTGTAGTAACTCTAACATTACAGAATTTTGGGTAGTTTTATCCTTTTATTTCTCTCATGTTACAAAAATGTATTTTTTAATGTGATACATTCAGGATTGTATTTTATTGTGCATGCTTGCATGCTTTATGAGATGATATATATTAGCATAATGTATTATATACAAAGAATTAATAGAGTTGTTTTATTTTAGGAATTTCTTCCTTTCCTCTCTGATTGTTGCTGTACATTGCACCAGCTTTATCTTCAGATACACAGGTAAGACTCTCCATGTGTGTATTAAAATGTAACAATGCCATGTGTACCAAATGAAGCTTCAGTGTATATCATTTTAAAGTAAAACACTAGAGTAATTTATCTTAATGATTTTGTAAATTTTTATCTCATTAAAATAATTAAAGATGGAAACTTGCAGGAGAGATTCTGAGTTTTACTTATAGTCTTAACTCTAGTGCCATATATACAAGTGATAAATGTTATGGTAATAAAAATTAAAGGCGAACAAAGAGCTTTAAGCATATAATCAACATATCTATAAAAATATTGGCATATTTTTCATCTTCAGTTTTCTATAAAATACTAATTCCATGGTAAAAAAAAAAAAAAAAACAACGGAATTACGGGGAAGTATACTATAGGAGTCCTGGTGTGGCCCTGTGGGTTAATGTGCCAGACTGCAAAGCCATTTGAACTCCAGGGTCAGTGGTTCAAGCTCACCAGTTGCTCCTTGGAAACACTGTGCAGGGTCGCTATGGGTCGGAACCGACTCGATAGCACTTAACAACAACAACAACACACTTTAGATATGGGGTGAGGTACTTCTGAAATTGAGCTACCTGAGAAGAGACACGCAAAAAAAGAGTGTGGGGAATGGTTTCTGATAGCCTCTAACTTCACAAGAAGGTTAGGGGGCACGGGGAGGTGCAGAGAAATCTGCGTCAGTCTTAGGCTGATTTCTATAAGACTGAGGTCAGACATGCCTCTACCTTCCAGCACTTTTTACCAACTCTTCCTCAGCATTCTCTAGCTCCCAGGTGGGTTCAGAAATCCATTGCAATAGCCACACAGAATTCAGAGACCATACTCAGGATTACAGTGTTTATTAGGAACATTAACAGGTTGCAATTCAGGGTCAGAAATTCTTTGGTTAGAACAGACTCTTTATTGTTGTACCTGCAGGCCTCTTGGTGTCTTGGCCTCTGCCTTGCTCAGGCAGTGTTACAAAGTTATTTGTAATGCTGCTGATAAACACTGAAAGGGTACTCCATTCCTCTATAAATGTCATCTCTAGTACTTTGGTTTGGCAAACCTAGCGCCCAAGATTAAGTGCCTGGAGACACCTTACTCCACAAACAAGTCTCCTGTCTGAAGGCACTCAGCTTTATGTGCTCCATCTCATGTTCTTTTTGCTGCTGCTGCTCCTCTGTCACCCTTTATCACTTGTATATAAATCACTTACTGTCCCTTGACGGAGGAGGTTCAATGCACCAGGACTTTGGGGTCCAAAGGATATACTC